GAGGCCCAGGCCCCGCCCCTCTGGCCCAGCCCACAGGATGGAGCAGGTATCCTGCAGGTGAGGCCCAGGCCCCGCCCCTCTGGCCCCGCCCGCCACTTACCTGGGGGCTGCCAGTGCCAAAGCCCAGGGTGGGTGTGGTAGGCACCGACATGGAGTGGGGGCCCATGGGGGAGCTGATGACGGAGAAGGGTGGGCCCATGCCATTGATGGGTGAGCTCAGCGAGCTGATGGGCGAGTGCAGCTGTCCTGGGGAGCCGAGAGAGGAGCCCATGCCGGGCCCCAGAGAGGGGTGCAGTGAGGGGGCGGCCATGGAGCCACGCCCCGTGGGGGAGTTGAGGGACGAGGAGTTCACCTGGGTGGAGAAGTCTGCAAGACAAGAACCACAGGAAGGCGGTCAGGAATCCACAATGACTGGCCCGCTGCCCCTCTGGCCACAGAGAGCACGAGGCCCCGAGATGCCCCAGGCACCCCCGGTGATCCTAACGGCTCACTGACACAAATTCAACGCCAACCCCTCCAGGGCAGCATCCCACCCGGCCAGGCTCTAGGGCTCAGGCCGGGCCCCAGGCAGGTGCAGGACGGGCAGGCTGACAGCTGCCGTCAGCATGCGCTAAGATGCCTATCTGGTCAGGGAGGCCGGATGGCTGCCGCTTGGACACTCAACACTCCAGGCCTGTCCACCTGGAATGCCTGGTCGCCAGGAGTTGCCAGACCCTCTGCCCATCTACTCAGGAGGTCTAGGTGAAGGTCTGGGAATACTAATAAAAATAATGAAGGCTGAAATTTGCAGAGCACCCACTCTGCAGCAGGGGCAAGTCCACATCCTCGGTGTAGACTGATGCGTGGCGTTAGGAGGTTCACAGCTGGGGAACTGAGGCCCTGCGTTCCTACCGCTGCCCATGGCAGGGCGGGACCAGCACCAGGAGGCTGACCCACTGCAAAGTCTGCGGACTTAACCACCAGGCAACACTGACTGGGCCTGCTCAGGTACCCCAGCAGCGGTGGTACCCCCAGGCCTCCCTGACTGGTGGGGCCCCAGAGAGGTGCACACTCCTGTGTGTGTGCCCAGGCCTGGCAGCTTGCAGCCCGGGGGCAGGGAGCTTCCAGGTGGGCCTCATGGAGGGGGCCTGGGTGTGCGCCAGGCATGGCGACAGGCAGCCCGCAGAGAGTCTGGGGAGAGGCTGGGACCTCCCACACATCAGCCTTTCATCTCTGGGATTTCAAAGCACCAATAATGGCTAATTAGGCCTCCCCATCCCCGCCGAGGGCTTGGCAAGCAGAAGCATCCCCAGGAGGGAGGCTCTCAGGTGGTGAATCCACTGCCCCCGGGCCTGAGCAGACCATCAGGAACTGGAGGAGCCCAAACAAGGCAGCACAAGCCAGGAGCCGCAGGCGACAGCGAGTCCTGCCTCTGCCCGGGCAAGGCACCTCTCTGGGCCTCGGTCTTCCCATCTGCAAAATGGTCTCCCGCCCCAGCCTGCAGCGATCACACGTGCTTTTGAAAAGTCGACTGGGACCATGGGCGGGATGGAGTGGCCTCCGTCCACACACACCCTGGGTCGGGGGACCCACGCCGGCTGCCCCACTCAACGGCCCCAGGACGACTTCACCCCCTGACCCTCGGAGGGCCCGTGTCCTGAGCGTTCCCTGAGTGCCAGGCCTGGAGCAGGAAGAAGCCCTGTACAGACTGAGTCGGGGGACACGCACCGTCGCGCTGCAGACACCACGACCGACCCGCATTCGGAACTCAGGACTTGGGGCAGACCTGACTCCGGCCAAGGCCTGAGCTCTTACCCAGGGCCTTAGGCACTTGTCCACAGAGGTGCTGGGCAGCAGCCAGCCCTTACGGTGGGGTGGTCCCAGCAGGAACACGGGGTGCTCTGCCACGCCTGCCGGACCCCCCTTCTGGACGCATTTATCCGTTTCCATCCCGGGAGGAGGGCCGCAGGAGGGGGCCCTGGAATTCCACATTCAAGCCAGGGTGTGGGGGGGCCTGCCTGCCCCTGCACCTTCTGACTCCACCAGCAAACAAGCCTCATCTGATTCTTCTGAAACCCTAGCCATTCGCAACATTGGAAATAAACCGTTTCACTGAACTTGAAAACAAAAGCTTAAGGAATTCCAGAACCGGATGCAGCGGGGCCTGCTGGCAAAGACCAGCACTGCAAATCAGCCCTATTGGTCACGCAACTCCCTGAACCCAGGCGTGGATGCCCAACTCCATGCGCCCAGAGGTCTCCGCTAGAAGCTGGCGAGAGAAGGCAGACAGAAAAGGAGGTTCAAGAGTAGCAGACAAGATCCGGCTGCATATCCTTGATCCACTGAATTCCTGCAACCCTGTCCACCCACCTGTGACAGACAAGGAAACTGAGGCACAGGGAAGGGGCCAGAGTTGCCTAAAGGCACAGGCCCAGAAACCTGCAGCTGCCCCTCGGCCACTGTAATTTCCAGCAGGCCACAACCGGGACACCTGGACCCGCCCCTGGACGAGGAACCCTGAGGCAGCTTCATCCCCGTCCAAGCACGTCTCCTCATCTGTGACAGGCGGAGAGGCACGGCCACTCTGCAGGCCGAGGCTGAGGCGAACAGGGCGGGCCCCGCCCCTGTCATGCAGTCCAGAGAAGCACCCCGCTGACTTCGAGGTGTAAGAGAAAGAAAAGGACTTTGCAAAATGCACTCTGCAGACATCTCCACCGAGACCACAGACCAAGAGGAGCCAGGGAACCGCTGGGGCATCTGGGAGCAGGCTGGGCCGGGCGGGGTCCATCCCAGGAGCATCCCACCCCAGAAACGCATCCAGAAGCCTGAAGGCCTGGCTGCCCAGCCTCTGGGAACGAAAGGAGGATTTCCCGGCCAAGAGGGAGAAGTCACTCCCGGATCCTCACAGCTCCCCACCTCCACCCCCTGTCCCTCTGCATCCTGGGGGGACTGGAGGGCTCTGAATTAGAGGAGGGGACTGGGAGGGCGGGGGTGGGGGCTGTTCTCCTTAAGGGGCTGCGTGCAGCCAGCAGTGCCAGGCGGGCCCAGAGCCTCTCGGAGGGGCCTCTGCTGCTGGCCGGCCACACCTGACAGGGAGTGTTCCCGCGGGGGGCGGGGGGACTTCCCCCTCACACAGCTGCAGAGGCTGCTGCGGGTCCACGCTGGCCGCTGGCCCTGCGCTGGGCCTGAGCTGCTGGGCTGTTTATTTGTTTGCTGCTCTGGCAGGAAAGGGAGGGAGCGGCGGGAGAAAGCTTCGGCCGGAAGGAAGGAGGGAGGGAGGAGGCCTGTTTAACTGCCAGCTGCCAGGCTGCACCCCAAAGCTCCCCCAGCCCCCCCAAGGCACCACCCACACCCCGCCCAAGTCTGAGGACCGTGAGGAGGGGGAACCAATAAGATGGAGGGGAAAACCGGGCAGGAGAGGAAAGACGGGGTGCAAGGAGGAACTCCGGGAGAAAGGGGGAAATGGGGGGAAAGGGCACCCAGCCTGTGGGTGCAGCCCATCCCCCAAATGTGAACGTGGGGGCCTGGCTCCTCAGGCATACCCCCCCTCCTCTGCACCCCAGGGACAAGTGTCTGCAGTTGCTCCCAACAGATGACCGTGAGCCCCTGGGGGCCCCTGAGTCTGGAGGGGGCGGCCACCCCACCAATGCCCGCCTCGGCAAGACCCCAGCTGCCCCAGGCCCCCACTCCGGGCGCTTCCTGTTTACACGGAACATCCACAGCAGACACTTTCCCGGAGCCTGGGTGACAATGGCTGGGTGTGTTTTCTGGAGTCTTCTGGAGAGAGGCACTTTCTGGCCAGGAAGGGAATGTTAGAAAGAAAAGGCAGAAAATGCCTAAACATCCTCCGCCGGCCAAGAGAGGCCGCCAGCCCGCCCTCCACGTGCGTGCAGGCTCTGCCTTTTCCTGGCCATTTATCTGTTCCCACCCACCGATAAGCAGTGGCTGCGATAAGGTTGTTCTTAAAAAGTCATCCTTGGGACTTGCAGGGCCTTGTCACCCGCCGGTCACCACACGCTTATCTGATGCTCAGCTCAGTGGGCTGGCGGGGGCCACGGCTGCAGGATGCCTGACTCAGACCCCAGACCCAACCCTGGGAGCCAGCTGACACCCAGAGGGTGCAGAGGGGCCTCTGCGGAGGGGCAAAAGCCAAGTGCCGAATCTGGGACCCTCAGAACCTGGGCCTTACCGGGCCCCAAACCCCAGCACCCCACACCTTACCCCCACCACGTGCCCTCTGGCACCATCGGCAATAGATGGGACTCTGAGGAAGGAGGCCAGGGCCTGGGAACTCACAGAGACCTCCAGAAAGAGGCCCCCGTCCAGGCAGAGGGGATGCCCTGGCAGCCCCAACACATGCAAATGCACCTCGCGGGGCTGCCAGGTTCAGTCCAGGAAGGCTGCATGGAAGAGGTGGTGGGCAGCTCTCTCCATTGGCACAAAAGGCGTTTCAGAACACAAAACTGAGTCTCAGATGCAAATGCCTGCAGGCCAGAAACAGAAGTCCGTGAGCAGACATGGAATGCCCCGGAATGCTCAGCACCCAGAGCAGGCACGGAGGAGCTCCCTGGGCCCCAGAGTGTGAGAATGAAAAGTTACATTTAGTGAAGTTGAAATAAAAAATGTTCTCATGGTGACTGACAACAGCACAGGCTGCTTCTTGAGAACAGAGTTCCCCATCGCGGTTGTATGCAAGTAGGAACTTCAACCACCACCCAGGAACGGCCGAGCAAGTGGCCCCTGAGGTCCCTTTGAGAGAGGGAAGGGACGTCCCCACCGACCCAAATTCCTGAGCTGCTCGGGCTCCCCCTGGAATGCCCACCCTCCTGTCCCCCTGGTCCCCATGCAGGAAGCCGGGGAACCCCCACCAACTCCCTTCCGGCCTCTGCCTGGCAGGCAGGGGAGGCGGGGAGGCGGCCGGAAATGCCAGCCCGCTGTGGCAGGGCGGGGGCGAGCCCGGGACTCCAGCCCCTCCCAGGCCACCAGGGAAACCCCAGCTCCTGCAAAGGGGAGCTCAGGGCTCCTCCAACGCCCTTCTGAGCATGCAGGACCAACCAGGGCAGGGTCCCAGCAGGTCGCAAGCTGGGGCCAAGGCCCAGGCCACGTGTCCTGTTGAACAGGAGAGGACACGGGGGCCCAGCCAAGCAGAGCAGAAGGACGGGCGGTCCAAACGGACCAAGGGTGGGGTCCCATGGGGCTGGAGAGGGCCAGGGGCTTCAAGGAGGGGCACGAAGGACGGCATGGAAGCGTCAACAGAGGTGTCCAGAAGGGGAGAGGGCACAGAGGGGCAGGAAGGACCCCGCAGTGAGCCACACCCGACAAGAACGGGTCCATAGCCCCCACCCCTGCACCTCTGCCTGGGGACCCCCCGGAACCGAAACCCCGAGGCGGGGAGCCGGCGG